GTTTTTTTAAATGTTTGCGTCCTTATCTCCAAAAGCAGATTCTCTCTCGATGCTAAGCCTAGTGGGATAGCAGTTAGAGAAAACCATTCAACAGCTGCAATTTAAGTTGCAGGCGAATAGTTCTACCAACTAATGCAAGTTCCTCCGTAGGCGAATTAATGTAATACCTATATTTTGCCTGGAGATGCTGACCTTCGTAAAAAGTGAGGAAAAATTCGCACTGGAAGTGCCAAAAAACTTCCTGATCGGTGTGTTAAAGCCAATGTACATTTTAAAACGTCCGCAAATAATCTTAACAGAGAAATAACGTGTAATGTAATTGTTTTACAACGTTACGAAAGAATTATTCACAAAAGTGCAACAAAAACGCGATACAGTACAATATAACAGCGAATACTGAAACAAGGATCTTTTCATATGTCACAAAATATAACATTCAGACAAGCAAACCGGAAGTACTGTGCGAGAGAGGTTCCGAAAGAGCACCACAGCAAATCGTGCAGCAATAAAAAAAGTTCTTGCCTCTAATCTCTGAAACTGGCTTGTGAGCTTTTTTCCACCTTTACCGAACCCCAACGTTGATCTCAGCCTATTGCCCTGCCTGATCAATAGTCAAATCATCATTGCTCGATCCAAAAATCCCAATGAATTATGAACACTTGTAGGTGAAAAACTGTAAACTAATTAATAGGGAGGGCAGTAATTTGAATCTGCCTGACACTTTCAAAGGGTAAGAGAGCCGTACCGCAGAATTTAAAATTTTTTTTGCTTTAGACAGTCAATTTGTTTTTTTTTTTTCTAGCTTCAAGCAGAAATTACAAAGATACAAAACAGCATGGTTTTGCAGCACGTATTTTCCTATTTCATATTAATTTTTGACTGGGGACTTTCTGACTTTTAAAGCAAATAATACTGACAAAATCCTTCCTTCTTTTGCTGCCGACTGGAAAAATGCTGCATTTTATCACTAAAAGATACGTGAAGTTACACCTGACATGGGAAGAGCAGAATTCAACGCCTTAAAGACGGAAGGCAATGACGGCTGCAAATGAAAGACTTGGCTTGAATGAAGCTAGTGAAACTACTATTTGGTTTAAGCTAAACCAGCAAAAACTGAAGTTTCAAAAAATGCAGGCAGAAGTAGTTAAGGTATTCAAAAGCGATCTTTGGCACTTGTTTGATATAGCTTTTACCTCAGCTCAAAAGCCTTAAATTTCCACTAAAACATGGTAAAATTTTATCGCTCGCTCAACAACCTCACATTAAGCTGGAAAATCCCCAAACTTTATCGTCTATCATCACCAGTCGAAAACTCAACAAGCACATGGAAAAAACAACCGCAAAAGAATGACTGGGCAAATGGACTAACTCTGAACTATGAATTACAGGCAATAACACCTTGCTTCACCAGCTTAGAACGTCAGCAGAAGCTGTTTGGCTGACAGTCCCTCGGCCATCAACATTTTAATTTTATTCTCCTATCGTCTCATGCTTCAGGTTCCTTTCCCGCCCAAATTCTAGCAAAAATCCGCGCGTTTTATTTTTTCACACATACCTGTTTACTAAAGTGCTGCTACAATGTTGTTGGACGTTTATAATTCGTAATTATTTTCTACGTTCTCGTGAAAAAAAGCCTAGGACCAACGACTCAGTAGAAAAGTAAAACGGTTGTAAACTGCCAGAAAAAAATGATTTACAAAACAAGGGAACACGGGTAAGTAACACTAAGAACTGCTAATTACTTGAAATTGGGAGAGGAACAACAAGAAAAATATATAATGTCATTTATTTGCATCTAATTCTTCATGTTCCCTCTTTTAAATGTTCCCCTTTTTGCTCCAACTTAGAAAAAAATTTGTAAGTAAGATTATTTTCCAACGCATAGTTTGTTAAATAATTACTCTAATCCGCTTCATTATTGCTCATTACTCAACATTACTTCTTTTTTGCTGCAACTCAAATATCCAAAAAAAAAGTATCCAAAAGCGTAGTGTGAACTTGACGGACGGTCATGAAGCGACAAACAAAAAATACATTCTGGAAGGAAGCCACTGCTCCAGCAACATTTGTATCTTATTTTCACAAATCAGCTTCATGATGAAACCCCTCTAGAACGTACTAAAACCCCCCACTTTATTTCATTTGAAGAACTGTCACTGTTAGTGTTAGAAGAATCTGACCTGGAAACTTCTTGATTTTGTACAACTGAAAATATTGCACAAAGTGTTGCTTTCTCAGAAAAAAAAAAATCAGAAGCCCTGTATTTGGTAAATCTTCTTCCGAGTTTAAAACCCGCTAATTCTACTCAAGCAAGCAAAATTACAAAATTTGAAATCGGTCCCAGCTGAGCAGAAAGTAGGAAATTTTTGAAATATGGCGGACTACAGGTTGATAGGAAAATGATTCTTCCAAATCCTCTCTTCTGTTTTTTCTTTAAACTAAAGCCATCTTTTACCAACTTAGCAAAATTCAAAGGAATTCTGAGGCAGCAAGTGGAGAAATTTTGCAATATGACATGAAGATACCGATACCTGCAGTGATAGGAGCGTACGTTAAGGACGGCAAACTTTACATAAGGATCTTTTATTAGGATATTTAAGGAGTGACTATTATGTTATTCTTATTATTAATTTGCTTAACAAATGTTTATTGTGAAGAGTCGTTACTCTCCCAGCTTTTACACGGCGTTATGGAATGCGATTTAAGTAGACGCTTTCACAAATCTTTCCTGAACATTACAACGAGACATTGCCTGAACTCCAAAAAAGAAAGCTATTTAAAAAAAAAGCTTCCGATATTAGCAATTAATTCTAAAAAATTAATTTTGTCCCTACAGGAATTATGCCAACGAAATAGGAAAAGTGATCCATGACAAGCTCCATCCAGCTCCAAAAAATTTACATTTTCCAGCCAGATAACTTGAAATATTTGGTCCTAGTTGACTGTGAGTTGCGAGTGGTGAATCAGCAAGTTTCGTAAAAACTTTTTATACATGTTTTCCATTAGCCATAGTTGTGGCTAACAAAACGATAGTTTAACGTCTGTAAATGGCCAACTCCGACTGGATATTAGAGGGAGGAAATAGGCTGATCATATGCAAATAAAATCTACGTTGTATTTTGTCGTCTAAACAATGAGTTTCTATGAAAACTGATTTTTTCACCTCAAAAAAACTCTTCAAAGACTGGAGAACATACTTCATAAAATCTAAATATAAAAAAAATTGACGGAGTCATAGGCAAAAGAAAGTTACTTTGAAAAAAAAAAAGTAGTAGAACTAGTAGTAAAAGAAATCAACTTGAAACTACTTTTGAACAAATAATTCAACGAGGACACCTGAAATGAATAAAATCTAGCAAAGGTTGTTTAGCCAAAAGTGCGTTGAAAATAATGAAGTCAAAATAGCCGCAGTTTTTCCAAAGAAAATCAGGTAAACTTGCAAATCTGAACACAATGAAAGGTTTTATGTAATGTCAACTAGCAGCTTCACCACATCGCTCTGCAAGGAAAACCCATCTACTAAACAGGGCCTTTAATTGTGCACAAATGTCACTACCATTTTTGCGAAATAAACTTCAACTCAACAGCTTCACAGGGAGAAAAAAAAGCGCAGACTGAGAGCAATAGCAATATAAAGGATACAGTGACTTTTCATAGTAACGACGCCAAAGTTTACAACAACAGCCTGTTTTAAAAAATCCCTCTGACCTTTCGTAGCCAAAAAACCTCAAATTTTCTTTCAATTTCCCACTTCCAAGCAGGTCTACATATGTCTGTCTTTCCCCTTAGCTTAGTGCTTAAGTAAAAACAAAAAGATAGGTGCTCACACGGGAGTACTGCGCCATTTAGAGAGTCGTTCAAAATCTTCAACACGATTCACGGTTACAGTAGATTTTAGGGTGGTGTTATTGAAAGACAGCCGCATCACTTTCTCAATGAAGCCGATAACATAGTACAAACTCTGTTTCATGAACTAATCGACACAAGAACCTTTGCGTAAGATCGAATTCTGTTAGGATCAGCTGAAGGGAAGAATCTGAAATGCTGAGACATGCAGCAGAAAACTTTTGTTTGATAATGGGGTGTCAAAAATTCGTTCAAGTTTCATTACAGGCACGCTGGGATCGCGATTAACCCTTCCATAATCTTTACATGAAATAGGGTTTTAGTGAATAGCGTTTTTCTGCGGCCTTTCAAGTTGTTTGGCATCTAGTCTTTCAAGAATACTTTGGCCTCTTTTTCAGTAGCGACAGGAATAGACTTCATTTCTTTAAAAATTGCCAGACATACAGTTGACGCGAAAACTTTACACTGAAATTAAAGCTTAATAACTTTGCTATACAATTAAGTTCAGGTAAATTTAATGCAAGATTAGTAAACAGCATTCAAGTTACGCAAAAATTACTCCAATAAGTGACAAAGAAACCAAAGCCAGTTGTAAAAATTGTTCTCTGAAAAAAAAAAATTATTTTGCGGCACACTTTTGAACCTCCTCAGCATGATCTCATCGAACGTGCTGAAAATTAAAAAGTTTAATTTTTTCCACATCTAGAGAAATGAAAAGAAGCATTATGATCGCAAGAAGTACGTAAACTTCCTGAACATATCGAAAACTTCCAAAAAAAATAAGTAGGAAAATATTTCGACTGCTTCTGAAAAGTACCGTCATGTTGAAGAGTGGAACGAAAACCTAACTAGAGAGAGCACTGAAAGAAACTCTATTACAGTGGATTTCATGCTTAGTGGCCCGGTTAATTGCTAAGTTCTTTAGCGAAAGTGTGCGGGTTGGACAGTGCAAAAGAGGGAAACATGGCTGCATAATAAGTGCTTGCCAAAAGTGTGGCAATATAGATCCTTCGCTTGTTAAAGGAGTCGGAGAATAACAGCAGGACAGAAGCAAAAGGGGTCTTGCGCGTGTATTGATATTTTTGTTCTTTTCCGCTTCCGCGGTTATCTCCGCCTTCAACAACATCAGTTTTGTTTCCCATCCTTAATTCAACATGGAATTGGCTATAGCTGTTACTTCTTTTGCCTTCACTAATGTCATATCTATGCTTGTTTCTGCTAAATGTAATCTGGAGCAGCAATTTTCCTGTGCCGACGGCAGCTGTATAGCACTGAACGATGTGTGCGATGAAATTCAACAATGTGCCGATGGCTCTGATGAAAAAGAGTGTGAATTCAGGTTCGTTCGTTCCAAACAATTTGAGAAAGAGAAAATCATATTTCTTATTAGATGAGCTCTGCATTTTAATGTTCTTAATCAAAAAACCAGTGCTATTTAAAAATGAGTGAACTAAGATAAGTTAAAATGTAACTAGAGCGATAATGGTACGTGCTAGGTTATGTACCATTCCAGAAAAAAAAATATATCATTTAATTTCTTTTTGTGAGAAATTTTTGATGGTAAACAAAAACAAGAAAAAAAAAATATATACACTACTGCAGTGTGAAATACCAGTCAAGATTTTTGACCTTTTTTAGTAGTCGTTTAGCGTAACCTTTCGAACATACAGTTTTCAAGCAATTTTAGTAGGAAAAACTTCAGAAAGCTGCAAAAAAGTCTGGACCTTTTGTAGATTTGGCTTTTATCGATATCTCACTGATACATATCATTATATGCAACTTTGTTGAAGGGCGATTTCGAAGATACTGCATAGACACTATAAATTCGCGTATATTGAGCGTTTATTTTCTCTGGTAGCAGGCCCTCTGTTAAGTTGATTAAAAAAATTTTTTTCAGTTATAACCTCACGGGGAGTTGATCATAATGTATTTTCTTTCCTGCTGTTTCTCCGCTAAAACCATCTTTTTTCTCACAAATTTATGAAAGTCCTATGGAAAATTTCTTATCATATAAGTTACTTGAAAATTTCACTTGCACCAGCCTACAACGTCGCATGTTCTCAGTCAAGGAAAAACGTGCGATATATACGACGCGAATACTATACTAGTCCGATTTGCCTAGAGATTGGTTTTCAAACTTTAAAATTAGAATATTTTGATTTCGAGCATTGTTTCTTTAATTTTTCTTTAAAATAGCTCTTTGTTACGGGGAAACTTACCAACACCTCCATCCCTTTCAACCTTGCTACCTACTTTTATATCTGGTTTAACTTCATAAGATATGGTGCGAAAGAGTATTGAGAACAGCTCCTGATTACGAAATTTTCACTAGGTGAAAAATGGAGTTTTTAGGTACTGGGTAGGTTGCGCTCATTAATGCATTCTTACACTTTACTACAAATTTCTGAATAAGTCTCAAATCTCAGGTCATTCAGTCTCCATTCACAATCTCCGCCGCCTCCTTACGCTACAGAAGCTTCTCTTGTCCTACTAGCACCCAGTATTTCTCGCTATGAAAATCACTGATTCAAAAAAAGGCAGTTTTGGGAGATCAAAATGAATTGAAGAAAAGGAGTTGAGTGATATTTTGAAAAAAGAAGCAAACTAAATTAAGGAGACGTCGCGAGAAAAGCTGGTAATTTTTTCCACTGAAGGTCATACACTGACTGACGCCTGCATTTTCGGCGGGAAATTTGCGGAACTGTAAAGGATTAAGAAAAAGAGCGGCTTTAGAGCTAAGCATAACAAATTCTGGTTGCGCAAATGCAGTCCTATACTTCTTTGTGCATCTTCGGCCGTGGAACTGGTGCTGAGGGTTTTAGTGGGGCGAAGAAATTTAAGCTTTTTGGACTCCCAACTTCCGAGGCTAGTCTGGCGATGCACTCATGTATACAGAGGTCTGGAGTGCTATTTTAGGGTGAAAGACTAGAAGACAGTAGAGTGTGAACGACAGCCCATAATTCAATGATTTTGAATCTAGTTTCTGTACAAAAAATAAAGTTGAGTTTTTAATTCCGAGAGGGTTACTAGTGACGATGTGGAACGGACGGAGCACTCTGAGACTCATATACACAAGAATTTCTTTGGGCGAATGTGTACGATGACAATGCGTTGTACTCTTTTTTTCTGAAATACCGGAGCACCACCCGATACCTCGCGGTTCGTGATAAAACTGTGAGTCTTTTACAACGTGATCATTTGTGAAAAAAAAGTCTGGTATTTTGAAAGTCCTTTACATGAGTGGCGTAAGTGAAGCTGGTCTCCTTGTTTGGCAGTACCTATGTTCAAATAGGTGCGTATAATTTACCAGGGTACGAAAGTTAAGTTGACTATTCGTTTCACACACCAATTCAGATGCTATTTTATCTAATGTGAACTTCTGGTGTTTTGCTCAATATGGAAACAGGCAAAAGATATTTTTTAAGCTTGATATAGATTTCCTAAAGGAAGTGTAGCTGTGGAAATCACGCTTCTTGCGGCATTTCTTCTTTTTGCACTTGAAATATCTGTTTCTTTTTGTCCGATTGCTAGAATTATACCGAACTCACAGGAGAAAAAGCGAAGAAAAGAGGAGATCAATAGAGAAGCCATTTGAAAGTCGGAGTTTACATTTGGAAAACCAAGCTTTTCATTAAGGGCCCTGCAACCTATAGACACTAAGCATTCCATCTTCAGAAGCACGTGTTGAACTAATGTCATCTTCGATAACTCGGACTATGGAACAGAAAGCAAGCTAATATCATCTAACTGGAGTCAAAAGCTGCAGACGATGGCGACTGTTCTGGACTGAGAATCGCACAGAAGAGTTAAGCCCGAAGAACTGTCCTGTAAAGTTATCAGACTCAGAATTAAAGCTAGCAGCACTGAAGGTTCGAGCTTTGTTACTGCATTACAATTCCTTTATTCCTATACTCATTTTAAGATGTAGAAGTAAGGGTTTGCTCGGCTGCTGTTGTTCTCCTCTCTGCTGCGATTCCTTTCCCTACGCTTTTGACCCACTCCCTTCGTTGTTTTCTCCTCTCCCTGTCTTGCCTCTCTTTCTTTGATGCTGTCCGCTTTCTCAACTTTAGCGCCAAAAATAAAACTACTCGGTCGCTGGGCTGGATTTATCAGTGTCAGAGATTACTTTGACGTCTTTTACGAGAATTCGTGGCTACAGTGTACTACTCAGAAATCAAAAAAAATGCTAGTAGCATGTCTCACATAAGATACTTGGACCGTTTACTATTACAAGCTAGCGATAAATTCGATGTAAGTCCGTCATTTTGAGAAATTCACTGTTATTCCCATAATACTGGGGAGAGCCAGGGCTTTATGTGGAACTCTAGCTCGCGAAATAACCTTTCAAGATATTGCTTTTATGACTGAACTATTTGGGAGGCTTAGATTCACACTAATCAGACTGCAGATTATAAAATTAGTTGGCTTTTTCACGTATTCACCTATACACTTTTCAAATCTTACTGCTATGATGTTAGAATTTTTAACACGACTGTGACATTTTAAAAGTCCGTTGCATCTGAATTTGTCACGGCTGATATCTCGATTTATGAGAGGTTTTGCAATTTGCAGTTCTGCCCATTTCTAAGATTATGCGGTGGAAGGCCATAGTCACTATTCTTGAACGGACGTAAAAACTTAAACTTGGCACGACTACGTCACGGCAAGTTGCTAGCAACTTTGAAAGGTTTGGACAGCAATGATTTGGAACGCGACCACACATTGCCTTTAAGGTCCTTTTCAAACTGTTGGTTAAAATGAGGTTTTGGTATAATTTTTGCCTGCTTAAACTGACTAGTGTTTGCGTGTAATACTCAACCAGCCGACAGAGTATTAAAAAGCTTTTTAATACCGCCAGGCTTGATCTTAAAGAAACTGGTCTGATTTCGGAAGTTGTTGGTCAAGGTTTGGCGTGCGAGTAAATTTGTTAAAAAAATTTTTGGAACTTGTAATTTTGATTTTGAAGAGCAATAAGAATTTTGTTGCATCAGAAGAAGTATAAAGTGCAGAACTTTTCTAGAAATTTGCGAAACTTCGAATTTCACAACTGCAGACTTGACCATTTTAAAAGCAGAGAATCTATTTACTGTATCCAATGAGTTTGTCTGACATACTCCGTTACAGTTTTCTTATTTCTTCAATTTTTTGCGAAGTCATCGAGTCGTTGAGCAGCTGGCACTTCGGAAATTGTTTAATACATGAGTTAAAAGCCTTGTGAGGGTTTAGAATTTCTTCTACTTTTGGCATGAAGTGCCTTATAATGAACGTAAAGGTTGTTGATGCAGTAGACATAGTGGCAATTTTATATCTACTGTTTCAAGATTGAACACCAAACTGCTGACAAGTAAAATATAGGACACGAAGCATAGGATGTATTTCAAAGTCAGTTCATGCTTGTTTTCTTTCAACCTCCTTTTCATTTCAAAACCTGGTTGTTTTCTTATATTTTTGAAAAAAGGGAAGCATTATTTTCCAAGTTTAAAAAAACCATAAATTAATACGAGTAAAATATGGTTTTATGTTTGATGCCGTCAAGTAGGTGAATTTGTCAAATCTAAGTAATTTGATTTTTTACTTCTGTAATTCAGTCATGAAATTGGTTCAAAGTTACTGCAAGTTTAAAATCTAGAATTTGCTTCCAGAGAAAATCTTTTGATTACAGCAATAATTAATAGACTTTTTCTTTAAATCTTTCGTCTAAGTATTTTGATCTAAACGTAATAGATTCCTTATAGTTGCAAGGGAAAACCGAAATTGAAGAGTAAACAGATAACTGAAATTTTCTTTTCCAGAGAAAAAGAAGCCAATTATGATGGTTTACGTCGACAAGAAAATATGCTTCTTAACCAGTGGTACAGTCGGTCGACAGCGAATATCGATGCGGTAATGAATTCAACATCTGAGGGTAAACCACTGTATGAAAACCACTTGTCAATAGCGACGATAGCCATAATACTGTTAATTATTGGAGCAACTGCTACCTGGATTTGTCGCAAACGCATGCATGACAAGAGAATGCAAACCCTTCGGAGAGCTGACATAACTGGTGACGATGAAGATGATCTTCTAATCAGTTCAGTATATGCCACTTAACATTTCTTTTTAGCTGAGATTCAAACAAGCGCCGAAAACTTAATGTTTATTAGATGCTTTAAAAACAGACCGATGATGAGGAGTCAGAATGCTTTTAAAATTAAAGTAATCCAATAATTCACGCGTTTAAAGTGGCTTGAGTTTAATAAACCTGTTTTATTCTTTTCTAGCAGTGTTTTCTAGCAGTGTACTTGGCAGTGTTCCCCCTACAGATGCCAACAGTTTTTATGCTTCCAAAAAGGCGGTAAGTTGCGTGGAGGAACCACTACAGATTGATAGTACCCTTTTAAATGTTCTTTGGTCAACTAATACGGGAAACACTTAAAAGGAACATTTATAACTTCTTTCCATTTTGGACGACTTTTCGTGTTTCGAAATTGTTGTTGCCAGTATTATTAACTTATGCGTTCACTGTGGCATCAAGAATTTATTGCTGCAATAGAAAAATTTAGAGATAAGAAATAAATACAGAAATTACTAAACTCTATTCAAGGCGCAGAGTCAAAAGTCACTGTTGCTTCTTATTCATTTACTTTTTGTGGTGTTACCTTCAAAAAAGGCCGGCAGAATACAATTTAAAACTCAGTTTTTTGTACCAACGCAAATTCATTAATCATGTCTGTTGCCACGAAATCTGGAGAAAAATCAAATAGTCGTTGCATGGCAAAATAATGCTTCTAACGCAAAAAACTACAATTAACTAAGTGTTTAGGTCAACCACATCGTTCAAGCGCTCCTAAATGTTAAGAAAAAAAAAAAAGAAAGAAAATTAAAATAAAAATAGTGAAGGAAGTACTACTTTAAGGAGAAGCTCCTGTCGAAACTACCAACCGCTTCTTTCATTGGAGAGTTGCCCACAACTTCTCTACAGCGTCTCTACGGAGATCCTTACTTCTATAGTTACAAACTGGAAGCAATCGTGGTTGCCGATGTTTGCAGCACTATACTTAGGACTGTATACTCTAAAGTAAACGCCAGATGATAGCGTTGCCGAACGCTTTCACTTATTCAATAATGCTTTGCCTGCTTGAACCCCAAATATTGCAGATGAGGGAATAGTGAAGGTACGACGACACAGATGGAGACATAGGTCACTGAGTAAAAACGCATCAACCTAAACTCTACCAACGTATCGGAATTTAACTAACACTTCTAGTGTTTCTGAGACAACTAATAGTAAAGAATTATTGCAACAAATATACAAAGTAACAATTAAAGAAAAACCCAAAGAAAATTAAGAAAACTTTAAACACAAAACTATTTGAAACTAAACTAAGAACAATCTTAAAGGAAACTAGGAAAGTTGCACAATGGTCACAAGAAGCTAAGATGAATGATAATCAACTTTGGATGTTGATCACGACAGGAATTGTTTGCTCTTGTTCACCTTGTTCTTTTATACTTTCGGTTTGGCAATGATCTCCTAGCATGGCCTTTGAGAGCGTCTCCTCAGGGTTCTGTCTGGTTTGTTACCGTCTTTAGTACCCGAGGCCATTTCGCGTGCCGTCGCAACAGTTCCTGAAAAATCGAAAAATCGAAAAATCGAAAAAAAAAGGCTTTCATACCTCTTATAATTTCTATACTTCATTTTAAACCCCTGTTTTCCCTCTATACCTTCTCTTTTGCCAAAGAATTTGTTGAAAAAAAAACCATTTTTCTAGAAATTAAAATTTGGCAACAAACACCAATATTTTCAAAAATTAAACTTTTAAAAAATTAGAATCAGCTCGCTGTTTCATATGGCCTCAGGTTACAATGTAGCCTGAATGCACAACGGACAGTCTTTATTTAGCTAATAAAGTCCATTGATCGTCTATTAAATGGGAGATCGTTTATATACACTTACAAGCATTTAAGTCTAGCTGTTATAGGGCGCCGCTATTGTATCATGTGGTGCCACTGGTATCACGCAATCGGGCGTTTTAAGGGGAATAAGTTGGTTGGCTTTTGAGCTTATAGACAATTTTTTAAGTGGTTTGGCATCCGTAACTTTTTTTAGGTTTCAATTTCCTTTCCGAAAAATTTGCAAAGACAGCATAAAAAGCAAAAGGTAAAAAACCTGCAAGGTTTCACTTCCTCTAACAGGATTATTGGAAAAGTAAGTAAAATTACAGTTACAGTGATCCACGTCTGCTAATGGCTGAACAGTTTAGCCACCTCATCAAAGGGCTTTACCCACTACTTCGCACACTTCTTCGAGAACGTGTTACCCGCTTAGTTAATTCCTATAGTCAGCTGATTTATTTTGATTTCCTTCGTTTGGAAGTTCGGTTTTTATTGCGCTGCAAGTGCTTGAATTGCTAACTCGGCCTTTTCCATCACCTCTTATAGCATCATCTTACAGCTAACAATTATTTTCTAGGCTATGGCTTGAAAAACAGGTCTAAACTTAACCTTCTCACTTAACTTCTGTACTTGACAGTCTTTGGTGTTCAGGTGCGGTATGTTCGAATAGCTTATTGCCGTTCCTTCGCTGGTTATTTCTTTCTTGAGGGGGCTAGCGAAATAGATACTGCCATTGGTTTTTATTGGAAGCTCTTCTTAGCATTTTTCCCGTAGCTTGTGATCGTGGTAAATGGGATCAGTTCGGAGTAATCTTCTGTGACTTCAGCAGGTACTCCTTCACGCCCTAGCTGGAATCGTGCCGTTTCTGTCGGGCTAGGGTTTTCTGCCAAACTAAGGAGATCGTTTCATATTTTGCGGGATTGGACTTCTAGTTGTTTCTCGCTTTCTTTCCTTTTTTGTTACAAAGTATTGTAAAAATACTGATGCTTTGTATTTTCTCAGTTATATTCTGCGCTGAATGTTGGAACTTCTCTGAGTAAAATTTTTTTCCTGTTGCTTTTCTGCTTTTGTCGTGCTTTGCTAGAACGTTGTTTGTTGTTGGATACTACCTTCCTCGTGTTATTTAGGTTTTTTGCAATAAATTCTGGCAAATTTCCTTAATAATCGGTATTTATAGTGAAGACACTGTAATTCCCCATCTTGTATAGTTTCTTCCAGTAACAGAGCTTATCTTGAAAATTTATTTATTCTATTTTGTAAAGTCAAAGGTGCTTTGTAAGTTGTCGACGATGACGTGATTGTTAGTAATGACTTCTTTAGAAGTTTCCCAGGTTTTCGTACGCTCAAGTTGATTGAAGCAATTTTGGATTCCTGAGGATTGTTCTTGTGACTGTTTCGCAAATACTGTCTTGAGATTTGCACATATTCAGGATTGTTTGTCAAAGAGAGCTTAGTGCCCGTTGTGAGCAATAATTTCGCCTTCCTTCACTTCATAACTTGGTGTGCTGTGACAAGTTGTTTGAAAGAATTCAGAGCTGTAATATACTGGGATGGAACTTCACCAGAAGTACTCTTCCCTTTGCATTAGTTGGATTTTGTTCAACATTTTGGCTTTACAAAGCTCTTTAAAAATTCCTGCTAAAACTGGTTTCTTCGCTTATTCATCTTTTTCTACTTGTAACAGCAACCGTATTACTGCGTTAGCGCACACTGTTCTAGTTATGTTTCGACATACTCTTGCTGAAAAAGTGAATTGTCAAAATTAAATAAATAGACAGTCACTTTACCTCTGATTTCTGGCGTGGAGACTGCTGGAAACTCCTGTGAGTGCATAATTTGGTTACGCATGTGCCCTGCAGTGATACTAACAGACGCAATCACACCTAAGAGGCTCCTTTGCTTGTTTTGTATGGTTTGTATTGTTCAGCTGTTTGTTGACTAGGGTATCTTATATTCTGAACAAAGCAACTGAAACTGATGCTGCTGGCTCACTTTTGGCTGGTCCTCTTTCAGTTTTTTCCTTCGCGTTGAAGACGATAGAATGCAGTTGATTCACTGGTTGCTCGCAAATACGCCCGTTTCTAAGTCGTTTCTCAGTCACTGCTCTAACTTGAGTGCTTTTGCTTATTATGAACTCAATTATTCTTACCAATTTCTAACCTTATCTTGATAGTGTTTCTTCAGCAACAAGGAAAATTTCTTCTACTACTGGTTCTCTGGAGATGCATAACCACGGCGATTTGTGCTCCGTACTGTTTTATTCTTTAAAATTCAGCAAATAATTTTGTGTCCAAAATTTCTAGAAGCAGTCTAAATACAGCTCAGTTTCTCACCAAGCTTGAATGTCCTCGCCCTGGTCTTTCACTCTGCCTGGTCGGTATTTTTTATCGTCGTCATATTCCTTTTCAAAATTCGCTAAATTCAGCTCTTTTATGGTAGCAAAAAGTCACTGGGCCGTATCACGTCCAAACTTTTCTCGTCCAAATTAGTTGATGGGTGGTCGCTCAGAACTGCTTCAATTTTAGTTACAGTCGTTTAGAACTTTTTGTTTTTAACCTGTTTATTTCCGATGATTTTCTGTAGTGCGATCTTTATACTTTGAATCAGTCATTCAGAAATTCCTCCCTGCCAAGGAACGGTAAAAGTAATCCAATTCCATTCAACCTTCATTTTGACTTGAACATTCTGGCACTCCTGCACTTTGATGGCCCCAGCGCGCTGATTGGTTGATCGCGTTTTGGTGGGAAAGTTGAAGAAGAGGACGGCAGCAAAAGAGAGGGGGATAGCAGCAAAGTGGAGGAAGAACAACGAAAAGGAAGCTACAGGGGGCCACGGCGCAGCAGGGCTGATCGAAGCGAAGGACCGCCCTCATTTAGCCGCAACTTCCTTGGTTA